AAACCCCAAAACCCTCAGCCCTAAACCAGGCGACTTGCACATCTCATCCGGGACCTGACACTTCCCAGACCTTGCAATTGCCCCTTACACTCCGAACATCTTACGCCACAGCTTCGGCTAGTGCACGACCTAAAAGCACCGAGGGGTCTGGGACCAGCCTCCTCGTGTTGTCTTGATCCCGAGCAGTGCCCTCTTTCTGTACGTTAAATTTTGATATGTCTGTTGTTGGTGCTTTGTTTTTTGTCTCTTTCTCCCTCTCGCTCTCTGTCGCTCTCGCTCTCGCTCTCGCTCTCGCTCTGGCTCTGGCTCTGGCTCTGGCTCTGGCTCTCGCTCTCGCTCTCGCTCTCGCTCTCGCTCTCGCTCTCGCTCTCTCTCTGTCTCTCTCTCTCTCTCTCTCTCTCTCTCTCGTTTGGGTATCGAGGACTTCGTGTTCAGGGCATTTTCAGAGGCACCATACCTCCGCTCCAACGGATCTTTCCACCTTCCCTCAACCCTGTTCCGTAATCCATAAACCCTAAACGCTATCCCAAGATGATGAACCCCGCGGCGCTGTCCCTCGTGATGTCCGGCCAAGGCAGGAAGCTGTGGCGCTGGCCTGCCCATTATGTGGCTAATTATTGCTATTTATTAGGATGATCATTATGACTATTACTATTACTAGTATTATTACTATTACTAGTACTATTACTATTGCTAGTACTATTACCATTACTATCATTGTTACCATTCTTATTGTTGTTATTCTCATTATTACTAGTACGTGACGCGATGGGAGTTTTAAAAGATTCGACATCGGATGCTTCAGCCCAGGGACCGGAAGAGTCTCGCCCCCTCAGGCGGCCAATTGCCTCCCAACAACGTGGCTCAACAGCGGGTGCCAGGACAGCTTTTTTGGGTTGCGACCATTTTGCTTCGCGTAGTGTGCTGTTGATAGTGTTGTTGTATGAAACTGTATAGGTATTGGCATGCACTGTACTCAGTATTGTGATTATTACCAGGCTTACGATTATGAGAGTGTTACGAAAATCGTTACCGGCTGTTTTCAGAGTTTCCACTATCAGTTCATCTATGTTAGTAGCACGTGGCTTTGGGCTTTGGGTACATGAGGCCAACTTCTCGTCTGTCCGTAGCACGTCGCACAGTGTTCGCTTATCATCAATCCCTCTGCCCAATCGTGGCTGAGGGGTCCTTGCTTCGGGCACGGACTCGTTTTCGTATCTCAATGCTGACAGGGGGTTCTATAGGGAGGATTTCTGGGGTGCGTACGGCTGCAGACTTCAGGGCTTGGTGCTTGTAGCCTTCAGCATGCGGGTGTCTGGTGTGTAGGGCCGTTCCGGGTTTGAGGTTGGGGACCCGCACGCAAGAAACAAGTTCGGTCTGCAAAGTCTTCCGACAATACTTAGCAAGATGGGAAATCAGACGACCCAGCAGGAACCCCAGACTCCTATAAGCTGTAAAGATTCGGACGTTGAAGTCTTCAGCGCCAAAAACGCTTCAAGTCCTAAGCGCTGAGCCTTAAACCCCCGAATTCTAAGAGTATTCTGTGAAGAACCTGAGGCTGAACTAAGCCAGTGAACCCCGTAAGCCCCACACCATCCTTCACAAACCCAAAACAGCCTTGGACCCCTCCAAATCCCCCGCCCGAAACCTATAACCCTCAAAATCATGGCCCTTAACCCACGATCCCAACCTGCAAACCCCACATTATCCAAACGGACGCAAAGGCCCACAAAAGCGTATTTGTATCGGTGATAAACCTTAGCACCCCTGTGTCAAGGTCTTGCTGCAGGTTTGCCATTTACGGTCTACCACGCATTTTCTCCTAGGGTGCGCGACATAGGGCTCAGGGTGTGCAGGGCTGGTGTTAGGATTGAATTGATTTTGCAGTCGTGTCCCAGCTGCAGGCGGATACTTTTTCTGCCCGGTGTCGGAGCCCAAGACGGTTTTTTCTGTGTTCACAGCCTAATTTCTTAGTGTATCACCCAAAAGGCAAAGGCCACAACCAACGAGAGATCTGAAGAACTAGTACGAAACTCCCGATATGCTGAGTCCTATAAGCCCTCGCTCCTACACTCTCAACCCAAAACTCTCAATCTTGAACGTAAGCCCTCGCCTCAGTTCGCAGGCCTCCCAACTTTCGAGGTCTCTCGGATGTCAAACACTTTCGATGATTTCCGCAGATTCATTGGAGGACATACGGTCAACAGACCTTGCCTTGTTGTAGCCTTCGAATCTGGGACCTTTGAGTCTGGGCTTGTTTAGACCGAGACCCTTAGAACCCCAAGCCTGAACCCCTAAACACCGAAAGCACTACACAAGAAGTCGGCAACGATGCCGCTTTGCATTGCAGGCCTTTCCAATACACTGCGCAACTTCCGTCTCAGCAGACCGCGTCTCAGAGGTTTGTCTTCATCCAGTGGCGTCGTAATTGTTTAGTGCTCAAGGATGCCGAGAGATGAAAGCCTCAAGCCATGCTGCACTCACCTGATTCAGAAAGGTTCTGATCAGGGTCTTGAATATGGATCCGATCTTATTTGGGGGGATCTTTGCTTGGGGGAAGCTGAGCTACTTGTAGGTCAAATCAGGTCCTTGCCTAAGCCAGGCTTTCTGAGTGTTTTAAAATCACAGGGCTTCTTTCTACCGGCTTCAAATCATATCAGGAGGTTGTAGTTTCCGCAGTGAGTTCTGACCCTTACCTGATTCGATTCGATGGTTTCTGGACTCATGCGGAGCCGTCTCTTGCGGAGGCGAGGCATCCGACACTAAATATGCCCTGGCCAAAACCCCACATCCTAGCATCCATCTTCAGGCAGCCCTCCACTGCGCGGCCAACGAACGCGAAGGTGATCCCAGAGCTTTTCAAGGGCAGAGCGGTCCTTCGAGTGCTTGGGGATTCCGGATCTTGGCATCTGGGTTCCAGGATCTCAGGTTGGCAAATGCGGGTTTAACACTTTCATTGCGCGGCACCTGGGGCGGAGTTAGGCTTAGGCCTGCAAAGGGTACTTATTCCTTAATGAATTCTGGAGACTGCAAGTCAGTTTATGATGTCTCCCTAACTTGCAGGCTTCTTCAACTAGTATCTCCGAATTTTCGAAATCCTTACAAGGCAGTGTTGTATGTGCTCAACGCCTGCGATGAGGGTGTTTTGTCAGGTGCAAAGATGAGGCCCTGAACCCATCTTCCAGTCCGATGTCTGAATAATCAGCGGTAGAATTTCCCTTAGTGGTTCCGCTACGTAATCTTGGCATACTAGACCCCGAAACTGGATATTGGCGGAGCGGCGTTCGTTCGAGCCGCATGCAAACTGGAAGCCCCTGAAAAGCCCCAGCTTGCTTAATTTCCTCGGCCCGATAGCTTCAGAAAACCTGCAGGGCGACAGCCTGGGCTTCCTGAGCCCTTAGCCCTACCCTAAACCCACTATAAGGCTTAGGGCCACGATCCCGAAGCAGGAGCGGCAGGCGGAGACGCCTCGCATCGTCGGTTTGCAAAAGCACTGCGAGGAGCCGGGGATCGTTGAGCTGCAGCCGGCACCAGTCATGGATTGTCTTCGCACAAACTCCAATTCTCCAAAGCGCAGCCATGATTCTCTCGCCGCAATTTGCGATGGACTATGCTTTTGACTGCAGATACCTTACTTCTACCCTTACTTACAAACCTATAGATGCTGGAACTAAGTAGCCATGATCCTCCACAACCCTCAGCTAAATCCCGGTAAACCCTTTAAACCCCATGAGCCCGTGCAAAGCTTCAGAAGCCGCAATGTGCCGACTTGCCAGGATCTCTCGGACAGCAGCAGCAGCAGCAAGAGCACGGAAAGATCAGAAACTAGGTACCGAATTGAGATAGCTTTTTCATTTTCTTATTGCTTTCATATAGTATGAAAGCGTTATGATTTTGGGATAACTTTTCATGTCTCGATTGGCTTCATGTACTAATAGAGCCTCATAATTCCCCAAACCCTAGACCATAAACCCCTAATTGTAGGGGCTCTTGAAATCGATGCCTAGGAGAGCACAGAGACCACGGAGACTACGGAGATCGCCGCGACTGGGATCTGCAGAAGAAAACCCAAGACGGCTCTGGTTGTCGTTGTTTCAGGGTATGTGGGTTTAAGGGTCTATCGGGGGTTGAGGATACGTGGGGGTTCAGAGTTCAGCCCTCGAGCCAGCCGTTAAGCCGTAGGAAGCCTGCCTTGCCATGTCACTTGGGAGCGCATCGAGTGCAATCCCTGAGCCAACTTGCCATGATAACGTCCACTCATTATTCACACGATGGCACCTATATCGGAGGCACATGGTTGAGAGCAGAGCCTGGAAGCACCCCGAATCAGATCCGCGAACCATCTTTAGGCTGTCGCAACTCAGGACATCGGGGAGATCACCGAGATCACTGAGATCACCGAGATCCCCGACATTCCCGAGATCACGGAGGACACACCCGCGATGCCCGTTCCGGAGATCAGCCCTTTGCCGGCAAAGCCAAAGTACTTCTGAGGCTTGGAACATTTGGCTCCGGCCATTTCCCGACTGAGTTGGGATTCGCCTGGTATGTCCTTGCAGTGTCAGAGCCGAAACACATAGCCAGGCTTGGGCCCTGCAGTGTCAACATGTCCTTGTCTTGCAGTTTCCCACGGCTGGCCGCCAAACATCCACAATTCCAGAAGCCGACGAAGGCCGATTCCGCAAATCCTCGAGCCCCCTCGGTCCCCCAGCCAAAATGGAACATGGGAGGCAGCATACACTCCCCTGGCACCCTCAAACAGAACTCAACCGATCCCTAGCTAATTCGAAGCCTCCAGCCACGCCGACGACTTAGGTGAGGACCATCTCAAGGCAGCCTGCTCGGGTTGAGGGTTTGGGGCATTGTTTGGGATTTTGCCACTGGCGGGTGGCTTTCGGATGCTCGTTCAGCGGCTAGTAGTACCATATCTCGTCACCCCGGCTACATCACTACGCTAGATCAGTACTGTGTCTGCGTCAGAGCTTGGTACATTGATATTGCTATGTCCATGAAGGTGGTCGGCCGAGGTAACAGACGAAACGAGCAGGCCCTTGTGAATAGGATTTAGAGATAGGAGAAAGCTGCAACAACCAGGTTCAGAGGGATCTGGGGTTCCTTTTATTCAATTTCGGTTCCCAAGTTCAGGGTCGCCAGTGCGATTTCAAGCCCCTCTGAGCAGCAGTGAGGGCGAGCCAGACGCCTCAAGGGAGTTCTTTCGCAACTATTGCGCGACCCATCGCTCCGTCCCTTTGTCTAACAGGAGAGCAGCGCAGACGATTGCGGAAGCTCTACCAGCCCCCAAACCCTAGAGCCCCCAAGCCCTAAAACCTCCAACCCTATAAAGTCTAAACCCGAAAACCGTAAAGCCCAAAATCCTAAGACCGTAAGCCCTTAGAATCCCGGCCCCGCCTATAAATCCAAGAAGCCCCAAAGCAACCCGCCCGAGGCCAACAGCGACGACTCGACAAGAGCCTCGGACAGCGAGGACGACCGACAAGCTGGGAGATAGCCATGCACAAATCTAGGGTTTTTTTTTATAGGGTTCTTTCAGGGTTCTATAGGGCTTTGATAGGGTTCTATGCACCAGTAGACCGCTGTAGGAGCTCCACACTATACATTTGTCCAAGTGCGGCAGGGATGTGCTGTCGAAGGCGTTCCGACCCAGTGGGACTAAGCCTAGAATCCTACTAGGCTTGTCAAAACATCCCTTCCGTTCGAGCCACTTTGCGGTCCATGTTGCGCAGGAGTTTGCCCCGGTTCGTCCCCGTCGTGGATACAAGGCCGGGTGCAGCAGCTGAGGTTTCCTTGACCTGCCCAAAACTATAAAGGGCTCATAAGAAGAGCTCAGAAGAACCTACAAAAAAGTAGGTTATGGTAGGTCAAGGTATGGAGAAGATTTTACAGCGATGACAGTGTAAATTAGGGCTTCGAGGGATCATGATTCCAGGCTTCCGGCCTGCCACTAGGGTGTATGAAGTTGAGGGCTCCAGGCTGAAGGTGTCTCACGAGGAACAAACGGCCTTCTTTATTCCATCAGGATCTCGAAGCTTTCCGAACCCTGGACTCCTGGACCGCCATGAGAAGCGGTAGGCTGCAGATACAGGGTTTAGGGTCTAGGAGAAGCGCGGTCCTGCTACTTGGCGGCAGTTGCAAGTGTCTGAGCTGAACGAATAGTGACAAATAGTAGGTTCCCTTGGCCGAGTTCCGTGAGTGTCAGTACAGCAGGTCCCAAATCCTAGACCCCTGAACCCCAAAACCCCAAAACCCCAAAACCCCAAAACCCTCAACCCCAAAACCCTGAAACCATGAACCCTAGACCCCAGCTCCAGTCCCTCTCTTCGTGCTTGGGGCAGGTGCGCAAGCCCCGCGCGAACCAAGAGGTGGTCGTGCCGGGCCCTTGGAGCTCCCAAGGCCAAGGAGGCAGCGCACGCACCACCCGAAGTCCGGAAAAGCCCAAGTCTTCACAATCCTTCCAAACCTAGTCCAGTCCCCAACCCGGCAGCCTAGACCTTTAAGAAAAGCCCAAATCCTCAAAGAGCACCAACCCCGCATCCTAAGACCGGAAGAACCGAAGCTCTGTTCCGAGAGCCCCAAACCGGAGGAGATTAGGGTTTAGGGATGTTCCGAAGCCAAAGAACCAAAAACCCCTAAGCCCTACACCCTAGCAGCTCTAACCCCAAAGCCCCAAACCCAACTTACTCAAACCCCTATGATTAAACCTATAAAGAGCCCCAAAAGACATACCCTAAACCCTAAACCCTAAACCCCCTATTATCAAACCTATAAAGAGCCCCAAAAAGACCGTTTGTTTTTACTGCGCTGAGGTCCGAGCCCAAATCTTTCAATTCGATCCAAGGGAGCCCGAAGGCTCGCCCGAGTTTTCAAGCGGAGTTTGGGGTTCTTTGGGGGTTTGCAGCAGGGGGTCTTAGGGTTTAGGGTTTAGGGTTTAGGGGGTCTTAGGGTTCGGAGTTTGGGAAGGGTTTAGGGGGTCTTAGGGTTGAGGGTTTTATAGGTTTTCGGGCGTTGCGTTTTCGCGCATCTTAGTGCGTCTTTTTTGAGGGCGGGTTTTGCGCTCGAGTTAGGGGTTGTGGGGCATTCGAAATCTTGAGATTCAGAGTTTTTCTCGTAGATGTGTGGTTCAAGCTGCAGAATTTGCGATTTGGGGGTTTAGCCTACGGGATGCAATGTAGGCTTCTGTTATCTAGACAGGTCTTAAACTGTAGGGCTTCAGGGTAGGGACGTTTCAGGGGGAGATCTTGAACACAGGGAACATCGCCTGGCCATGCACTGCGAAGCTTGCAAAACCCCGGTCATTGGGTTGCCAAAGCGGCCTCGCTTGCTCAGACCTCTGGTCCTTGTGGCTGCGAAGAAGAAAAGAGCCTTCTAGTCGTCTTTGCCCTCGCCCAAAGGAAAAGACCAAACACCCCCCTAAACCCTAAAAGCCCAAGCCGTAAAACCCGATGAGCTCCAAAGCCTATAAGCCCTAAACTCGAAAGCCCTCAACCCTCTTATAGAGCCCCGGTTTGACGGGCCCCCAGGGTCCCCAACAGCTTCGCCAACCTAAAACCCTGAACCCGCTCAAAGAGAGAAGCTTAAATCCTAAACCCTGAACCCTTTCCCTCTGAAGGCGACTCCGAAGTCGAAGGCGGATCCGAAGACCAGCCCAGGCCGACCGAAGGTCCTGGCCCCGAAGTGGCTGGTTTTGTTGAGTTTCAGGGTTTTTGTTTTGCGTTTTGGGGTTTAGGGGCTTTAGGGTTTTAGGATTCTAGCGTTTGGGTGTTGAGGAGGTTATGTAGGAGGGATTGTTGCAGGGTGGGTTAGCGTTTGCGAGCTTCAAGGCTTCAGCGTTTCAGGGTCCGGGTGCAGGGTTTGGAATTTTGATGTTTACAGTTAGACCTGCACTGGGGTCTTTGCTTCAAGACCAGACCAGCAAGGGCAGCTCCTTCCAGGCCCAAGGCCGCAAATAAATCCGAAAGGCTCAAACCCTCAACCCCAAGCCCGAAGTCTCGAACCCTGAACCCTCAAACCCTGCAAGCACTCAAGCCCCAAATCCCACGCGCACGGCACCCTTCATGACAAAGGCTGGCTCTTCCTTCAATACCTTCAAGGCTTTGAACGTGGACGTCCCTACAAGGCCCAGGGCCTTCTATTCAGGGTTTAGGGCTCAAAGGGTTTAGGGTTTAGGGTTTAGGGTTTAGGGTTTAGGGTGTAGGGTTTAGGGTTTAGGGTTCAAAGGAGGGATACAGCTCGAGTCCGTGCTCAAAAAGGGTTTAGGAGGGTCCAACTTGTGGACGCTTGCTGAAGCAGACCTGGAGTTTTGATTCGAAGGAGATTCTCAGGCAAGGTGTAGCATGTAAGATGTTTTGCAGTAGTTGGCATATAGTCTTCTCAGATCCGAACATTGGAAATGGACTCCTTCAGAAAGGCTCCGGAGGCTTTCTCTGCATCTTCCTCTAGAGTTTAGGGTTTAGTAACATGTAGGTTCAGGGTTGTTGGAGCAAAGTCACGGCCGCTTTGTTGTTCGCTCCTCTCTTTGGGACCTGGGAAGCCTCTCAGGTCTCAGACTCCTGGTCCCAAAGAGAGCTATCTGACTTCGCAATAGCCTTCAGCGCGAGCACACGCTTGCGGAATGAGGCGATGCTTAGGGTACCGTGGCATCATCACACATGTAGATAGGACGCCGTACAGATACTGATGGGATATGCCCGGAGGTGCCATGGCAGGCTCCTATTACAGGGTCTCCGGCTGTCGCTTGAGAAGGCATACTATCGTGGGCTCCCAGTAGAGTAACGACCATTGGCCTGAAAGGGCCCAGAATATCGAACAATGCCTAGCCTGCCCACATTCTCAGGCGCCCATCTGTCACGGAGGGGACTAGGCTGAACTTTGTTCAGAAGAAGAAGTCAGCCGCTTGACAGGATCAGAGAAGCAGTAACTAGGATTCAACTTCACAACCTAATCATATAAACGGGCGGTTATCCTTTGTATTACCTGTGGTGAGTCGGATCTTCGATGCTCTTAAGGGGGGGTTGAACCTGTAAAGCTTCCCTGAGATCTACATACAAGGGCTTTGGAGGGCTTGCTTGGAGTTTGCCTGAGCTTGGTTTCGAGTTTCGAATGCCCCCATCCAGGTGCTTACAAACACGCTTCCGCGTACCAAGGCTTTTTTGTTTGGCGGATTTCTTGCTACAGGGCGAAGATCCAAGCTCCAAGCTCTTCTCTTTCCTTCGATTTCTTGGGCTCCGTTGGGTCGGCGGCTTCCCGTGAATCGAGGAATGGGGAGATCGATCACCTCTGTCTGAGGTCCATGTGGTCTCTTGCGTTTAGGGTGTAATGTTTGCAAGTCCACTGTTTGGGAATGGGTTCTTCTGTAAAGCCCCGGTTTCTTTCAAACATGGGGACCTCCGGTGTGCTGGCATTCATCGGAATCACGGTTGTGTTTGTCTAGCCCTGAGCCCGATGCTGTGAGAATCCGAAGACGATCCCCTCAACAGAACCGACTGAGGTGATGTAGAGGGAGAGACTTGCTTTCTCCTGGACAACATTTGCCATAATTCTCCCCCGCCATAGGCCGGGGCCTGGGCTGGGAGGGCGAGGTTGCTGTCCCGCTGAACCATCAAGTCAAGAAGTTACCTCCACTGCAGAGCGAGGTTTAATTTGGGGCTTGAGAGGTTGGGCTTTTGGCCTTCGGGATGCTAAGCTACCCAAATACTTGAAACCCAAGAACCAAAGCCCTGAACCTCAAACCTGAAGCACCCTTTCGCCCCAAATCCCCAAACCCTAAACTCTAAGCCCAACGGTGCCAGGCCCGTGTAGATCCGCCAAAGGAAGCTCGAAGGAAATTCGTCCTTCTCCTATGTGGCGAAACCCTCTAAAGACTGGACATAGTCAAGCCGTGTAGGCCCCTGAACCCTAAACCCTAAACTTATAGGAGCTATAGGGATTTTCTAGCTCTCTCGTATCTCCTGTCGTTTCGAAATGTGGGATGTGGATTTCGTTTCGATGCCCTTCGGCTGGTGACGAAGCTTGGTGTGTCGGGTTCTGCTTTAGGACGAACCCTGGGGCCCTAAACCCTAAACCCTAAAAGACACCCTAAGCCCTAAACCCCAAGCCCAAAGCCCCAAACCCTAGACCCTATAGCTGCGAGTCAGCTTTTTCAGTCGCAATATGCAACGCGCCTTGAGGTGACCACTTTCCAGAGCCCCATGCCCATTAGCCAGGGATATGAACAAACTCGAAGTCCGAGATCTTTTTCTCCCCACATCATCCAACATCCCCAAAGCCCAAAGCTTAGCGCGGCAAGGATTCCTTTCACTTTGGTTTCGGATCTCGGCTTTCGGGTCTCTTCGCTTCGACGCGCTGGGCACTGGGCGTCGTGTTGCTCTTCCGATCAGGGTGTTCTTCATGCTCGCTCTCTTCTACTTGTTAAAGGTCTCATGTGTGGTTCATGAGGGAATCCATCCGAAGACCTTAACATAGTTTGTACGAGCCTGAACCCTCAACCCGAAATCCTACACCCCGAGTCACTTAGCTCAAAACCCCTCAAGCCCCACTGAAATCCCTGAAAACCGTGCTCTCTCCTCGGCCAGGAGTCGGGAGCTGTTTCATTTTTTGGTGACAAATTTTGCGCCTGCTGAGATGACAATTAGAGGTATCTCTTGTAGCAGGCCATTTGGTCCTGCACCGGCCGTAATGTTGGAGCAGTTGAACTATGCAGGGTTATGGTTCAGTCAGGACACTCTAGGCTCTACGGCCTAGGGTTGCCCCCCGTACCCTCACTGCAGCAGTTCTGGGCCAGCTGCATCCTTATCGATACGCCTGCGTCAGAAGTTCTTTGCAGTATTGGGTTTTGGGTTGTTGAAACCATCGGTATGCAGACACCCTATACGGGACTGTTCCAACTAATCATCCTCGTTGCAGTCTACGGAAGCAAAGGTCGACAGATAGTTCAACTCTCAGCTCGAGGAGTCTGAATAAGTTTTTCAGACGATCCCATTGTTGTGAAGGTACAGCAGCCTTTCGCTATGTAAAGCCCAACCCTAGCCTCCGACACCATGTCCATAGCCCCGTAGGCTTTATAAGGGAAAGCAACAGTTCTATGATCAAATCTAACCTCAACCTGAGAGTTGGAAGCCTGGATTCATTCCTGCGTCTGCGCTATGCTGTACGCTAAGCCCCAGAAGCAAATTTCAACACCAAACCCTGGACGAAGCCTCCAAACCTTAGTAACCTTACAGACCCGACAGGGATCAATTCAAGGCCGGTGTTTGGACAGGAGAAATTGCCTGGGGGCCGCGGCTCCCTTCCATCGGAGGGTCTGTCGCAAAAAGGCTTTCTTGGGATGAAAACTGTGCACGCCGAGGCATAGAAATAGCATAGCTGCATTCAAAAGCATCCACACATGACTGGAAGAAAGAGAACGCTAATTGACAGAAGCATACAAACTATAGCTCTTAGAATGTTAGTTCTGGGGGCTGCCAGGGCTTCGGGACCCTGCAAAACCCCGCGGTATACATATCTATATATATATATATACACACACATACACACAGATATATTCAGCAGAAGCTTTCGGGTTTCGGTGTTTCCCGTCTGCTTGCGGGTCGTTCTGTTTCGCCGCCCGCATGGTCTCACTGCGGATTGTGAACCCTTGCGCAGCAGGTGGCGCGTGATGAGATTTCAGCGCACGCCTGCCGTTTACAAATTCGAGACAATAGTTCCGGGATGCGACTATGATCATGTGAAACACAAAACCAACGAGCTCAAAGTGTGCTGGACTCACAGCTCGCGGCCTCTGTACGGAAAGGCCGCGGCAGTGCACAATTTTATAGAGCTTGCGAACTGCGCCAGGCGTGGTTCGCTGCACAAGGAGTATGGACTTTAATGGTCTGTATATATATATATATACAGATTTAAATACATGCACATATGTAGATATGAATGTGTATATATATATATATGTATCAAGCATATGTGCAAAGATAGAGATGGACAAGTGGACTACGTAGAACTGTTAAAAATGAGGCCTAGGATTGTGCTTGAGGTTCGGGATTTTCCGTTTGAGCGGTGCTTCCTCTTGCGAGAAAAGCCAGGGCGCCTGTCACTGTTGCCATCCTGGTGAAGGGATCGGAATTCTGAAGACAAGCAAGCTGGGGTTTAGGGTTTTCAGGTCCCTGACTAAAGCCTTGAAGTCTCTAAGTTAAGCCGATGGTGCACGCCCTGGGGTCCGGAAGCTTAATTGTCAGAATGTGATTTGGAGTTCTGAGTGTAGGCTTGCTGCAATGGTACCCTGCAGTGTCCCCCGGGTCAGCTTACGCAACTCACAACGCCGCTTTAGACACAAGCATCGCTAGCTGCTTGAATTGAATCCTTGAGCCCCACTTCATTGAATCCTAAGCCGTAAGCCGTGGTGGGGCCCCCGAAAAGGCCAAACCTCAAGCGGCCGACATACGAAAGCTTCAAAAAGCAGGGGCACCAAGATTCACCAACAAAGCCGAAACAAGGCAGTCATATTCCTACTGCTATATCTGGCTGGTGCACCAAATATGCTCCTGGTTTCCACCGCTCACAAATCAAGCCACGCCAAATCCTCAAACTTGTCCCTAGTGGAGGGCTGAAAAATTGGTGACAGTATCCCTCCTCCAGGAGGCCTTCATTGCGTACATGGCGTGAGTCGTAAGGTATCACAGGCTCACCAATCCAAGCCCGCCATGCACGCCGGTCCCAGTCTCGTATTCCCAATACGCTCTAGGTTTCAAGGTTTTTAGGGTTGAAGGTTGTCAGGGTTTAAGATTCAGCTTTAGAGGCTCTCCTCGCAGTCCCTGTGCTCCCGCCGCGGCTTCGCGTCATGGTAGCCCAACATGGCCGCACAGCAGAACATCGAGTGTTTCGCAGCCTTGTCCTGGTGCAATACACAATGAACGTCGAGGTCATGGGCGTCATTGAAACTACCCATTGTGGCAGTGGGTTTTCAGCGCTGCCGTATGGAGCCAGGCCGCTATGTGCGGGCTGCGCCTCTGAAGAGGCAGCGGGCCTCCGAAAGCTAGCTTGATGGACATAGGGAGTCGGGATCTGGGGTGAGGGAAGAGCGTGTTAAGGGTACGTATTGTTGACGTTTGGTAGGATCTTCTGCGCCACCGGTAAGAGACTCAGAGACTCTTTCCAGAACCGCCACCCCGATAACCCTGGACTCAAAACGCCTCTTTGTACCCAGGATGCAAGTCGTGAACAAATCCTGAGATAAAGCTGCAACTCTTCTACTCGGCATCTGCGACAAGTTGGGATCTGCATTTTATGGTTCGGTGACTTGAACCGCTTTGCTTCTTAGGGGTCCTTCTGTGCACGTCTATCTACGCAGATGCAGCTTCGTGGAGCGAGAAAGGTAGGTAACCGGGCTGGACGGCACCTGTACGGCGACTGCACGCAGGCACACATATTATTACATGAAAAACGACGAACAACGAACGAAATAGTTCAGGAACACACACAAACACACTCACTCACTCACACCTGCAGGTTTCTCCTTTGAGATGACGATGGAGTGGTGATGGTGATACTGTAGTTATACTTGACAGACATGTATGGGGGTGCATGTAGGAAAAAGCACTGATGGGTCGACTGGCGGTAGCGACTCGGGGCGGAGGTTTCGTTCGGTGGGACCTTGGAGGTGTGGGGGGATCATCCCGAGAAGCTGTCAGGGTTTATCTAGGACTGCGGGGTTAGATAGGCTTAAGCCCGAAAGCCCCCAAGGCTGAGCTAAAGTACAGGGCTCGGGTTTCGATAGGTTTACGCCCTATGTTTTGTCGAAGTGTTGGGGGCTTCGTGGTGGGTTTAGGTTTGTCAGGGTTTTTCATATCCTGAACACTAAATTTGCCAAACCCTAAACCCTAAAAATACCAAACCCTAGACTAGACCC